TGAGATGCTTGGCTTGTCTGTGTCATAGGGAAGAAGTGGGGGAGGAGGAAGGGAAAAAGGATGAGAAAGAGATGGTGAAGAGAGAGAGAATGAGTTGGTGGTCCAGTATCTTAGTTTAGGTCCCCCCGACAACCTCATAGTTGGGGAGGGGGTCCCAGAGAGCTCTATGGATGCTGGAAAACAAGAAAGGGCTAGCAGGGGCCAACGCAGAGGGCACTGATGACCACTGGGTTGTGGGGGAGGGGACCTCCAGCTGACCCTGTAGAAAGAGTCTCAGAACAGCAGCTCAACACCAAGGAAGCATTCAATGATTCCTCCCGACTCTCACTGGCTGAGGGCCATCCTGGAGTGCTAAATCACTGGTGCTTCTGACCCGCCTCCCACCTATTTGGGTTCTGCCATTGAGTCCTGCAGGCGACCTCTGGGGAGGGCAAGGACACAGGTCACAGAAAAGCAGGCCATGACTGACTCAGGTCCCTGCTGACGTCACTGGCCATTCTGTCTCCCAGCTTGGCTCACATTTCCTATGAAAATAAGATCCCCCTTTTCCCTTCAGCTCTCCACAACTCCATGAAAAGAGAACTGCTCTTGCTGTTCCAGGCAGCCACATAGTGGGACTTTGGGGTCCAGATATCCTATCTTGAACAGACTACAGAGGCCCAGGGGTGTTACCTGCTCATGGAAGCCCTGGGTCACGTGCTCAGCTCTGAAGGGGGATGGAACCAGCCCTTCAAACAGTGCTGAACAGCAGTACAGGAGTGCAGGCACAGAAGTCTCCCAGAGCCTCCTTGGGTGCCACTGGCAGCCAGGAGGGCCAAAACAAAGTGCTGCTTTTTTTTTGGGAGACCCTGACTCCCTGAAGGAGTGTGGCTTGCTCCCCGCCGCACTGCCAGTCAACAAGGGAACCAGAATTCAGACTCAGGTATGTCAAATTCCGAAGCCCACACCTAAAAAGTATTTGGAATGTGTGTATATATGATTAATTTTTTTTTCAATTTTTTTTTTTAACCAAACCTCTCTCTAACATTCCCAAATCCCAAGTCTAGATCATGTTCTCAGGACAGATAATTTCTTTGGGAGAATAAGAAAAAGGATACCTCCGTGCGTGGACTTAGCTCTATAGCTCCCTGATCTGGAGAAAGCAGCTTGATCTGGGCAAACACATGCCCCCCTGGGTTGGGAAACTGCAGGGCACCAACTGTACCTGGAGCCCCAGCACCCCGCCCCTCGACAGCCACTGGTACTCTGGCATGTATCCTCGCTCATTTATCACTCACACACTTGCTACTATGCTTGTCCATTAAAAACATAGGGTTGGGGCCCTCCCTGGTAGCACAGCAGGTTAAAGCACAGCACCAAGAAGCTAAAGCCACTTCAGCATGAGTTTGATCCCCGCCCCTGGACCCACCCGCTGCTCCTTAGTCGGCCTATTCTGCTCCCCACTCTGTCTCTGGTGAATCCTCTCACCACCTCCCTCTCACCACCTCTGGCCTGTACCGCAGTTCTGTATGCATGAGTGAATAAATCTTTAAAAAAACATATAGCGTTGTTTTTGTGTACCTAAATACATCATGTTTATAGATCATGCTGTGAGTTGCCTTTTTTTCATCCAAATGCTACTTTTTGTGAAGGCCATCTAGATCTAGCCCATTGGGCAAACATAGCTATTTAATTAGTCTCCTTTCATGAAAAATTTGAATTGCTACCACCTTCCTATCATGCACCATACTGGAGAGAAAGCTACATGCATACACCTCACACCTGAGCAAATAGTCCTCCAGAAATATTCCTCGTGGTGGGATTCTTGGATCAAAGAGAAAGCACATGTGACCATACACAAGTTGATTGATTTCACCTGCCCAAGCCACTGCACTGATTTACACCGTCACGCAGGGCTCCTGTACACATCCTTAGCAATATCAGGTGTTTGCTTTTAAGTCCTTGCAGACCTGATAGGCAGAGCAGCAGCTTCTCATTTTGTTTCCCGCCTGCCTTTTTGATCCAGGTTTATGTGGATCACAGCTGGAGGCACGTCTGCCTCTTGCCTCTTTTGTCCTCTTCCACATTGCTCTATTTTTTCTGATTGATTTATAAGGTCTTTTAACACCTGAGAGTTTAGCCCGTTGTCTTTCATGTTTTATAGGTTGCAAATATTATCTCAGCTGATCATTTTGCTCTCAACCCCAGCAGATGGGAGTTTGTATATTGGTTCCTTTTTGTGTTTGGTGTTTGGGGCTTTTTGTGTTCATGTGAGCCAACCTGTTCTTCTCTTCCTTTGCCATTTCTGGTTTCTGTGTTAGGAATTCTCCACTCATAAGCTCCATTTCTTGACCTCCTTCTACATTCTCTCTAGAGATATCTCTCCTTTGACCGTTCACGTGAGGCAGGTGTCTACCCTCCTCCTGCCCCCCACAGAACTAGCTCCATGCTTATGACACATCTTGCCTTCCCCTCCTCTGCCCCTACCCACTACCCTGACAAGCCTGAAGCCCTCTGCTCCTCACTGAGCCACAGGTCTGGAGCCTCGTCTGATCACGAAGCACTTGTTAAGCGTGATCAACACACCTGCTTATCACTCCTTCAGGCAGGCCAGGGCACCTGCCCACCCCCATCCCTGGGCTCAGCATACAAGCTCATTATTTTATCCAATTAGCCCCCTGATGCAGGAATCATCTTTGGCATTCTTCAGCTGTCCCCCAAATCTGCCCTTGTGGGTGCCTCCTTCTTGCCTTCTCTGACCAGACTCCTCTGAGTCAATTGTGTGGCCTGAGTGCCTCCTAGTTCCTCCCTGGCCCATCCACTGCCCAGCTCTGAGGCAGCAGCTCCTCACATGCCATCACAGCCATCCCAGACCAGGAGTCCAGGGGAGCACGAGATGCCAGTTCCCACAATGGCCTCTGTTACTCTCTTACACATCAGCAGGCCATTAGAAGGCTGTTCTCCTTGCCCCCAAGTCAGCAGGGAAGTAGGGGAATGACGGTCTTGAAAACATCGCCACTGTGGGGAAAACAGAGTCACGGTCAACAAATCCCATCCAGCCCAATCGGCTTCCTGGGCAGGAAACCAGGGAGGCCTGTTCTGCCCAAGGCCCAGGTCCTGGGGCGCCAGCCCTGGCAACCTCCTTGTTATTCCTGGCTCCCGGGACCGGGACTCTGGGGGTGCCCATGCCAGGGTGGCCTGCATGGCCGGGAGCAGATGTTTCCCTCTGTGCCCTTTATGGGCTCAGGAAGACCCACCCTGCAGGTGGCAGGAAGGGGCCCCTGCGGCTGGAGCAGGTCTGGCTAACTTTCCATTCCTGTTTCCACTGGCAAAGGGCTTTAGCTAACGTGACAGGGTCGTCCATTCTCAGGTGAACAGCGACTTTCAGGTCAACAAACCCTTACTGAGAGCCTAACATACCCCTTGATTCACTTGGGGGAGATTTTGTTGACTACCTACTATGTGCTGGGCACTCTTCTACACTCTAGGCATGCAGCCTTGAGCGAAGGTGTCCATTCAGGTGCCCTGGGAAGTCAGCAACAAGGAGTCAGAAACATACGGGGTGTGTCGAGGAACCGCGGTAATAAGCAGAAAGGTGGAACGGGCAGGAGTCCACCAAGTCAGAGGCAGGGTGCTGAGGCCTCTGCCCTGGCAGTAGGTGCCCACAGTGGAGGTCACTGGAGCTGCAGCTGGAGACCGAAGGGTGACCACACTTCTGATGGCAGCTTCTCTCTGGAAGGGTGACCTGGGCAGCATAGCTCCCTGGCTGTCCCAGCAAGGCAGAATGAAGCTGACTGCCCACGGGGGCCCCAGGGATAGAAAATACACCAAGTGGCAACTGCATTCTGCATCTAGCACAGAGACCCAGTGACCATGTCTTAAAGGAAGGAGACATGCCCCTTTTCCCTCATGGGTCCCCTACTGCTAAGGACAAGGACGTGGTGGAAGCCATCTTGAACACGAGAGAGCAGCCGCCTCGGTGTGGCAGAGCACAGAGGATGGCCTGGGTCCCAGAGAGACTGTCAGGGCAGGCACCCTGTCATCTTGCAACACCCACCACCAGAGCGTTTGCAGAAGTGGATTCCACTGGCTAAAGCCACAATTGTGAAATGCAGCTAAATCTATCCTAAATACAGGATCCCATTCTTTATGTCCACAACCGTTTTCTGGTTGGAGGAAGATTTAGCCAGCCTATATCCCCAGCACAAAGCACAGAAGCTTAGTTGGGAGGGTAGGGGGATGCAGCAGGGAGAAGAACTGCAGGGCACCCAGACCTTTTTATTGACGATAAAACATTTATAATATAAAAGTTACCATTTAAATCATTTTAATTGACTTTAAGTATGTTCATATTGTTGTGTAACAATCACCACACTGTCTCCAGAATTTTTTCATCTTATTCCACTGAAACCCCTTCCTCTATGAAGTCGATAACTCATAATAGTGGAATCACACTTTGATGCGGTTCCTTTTGTGAAATGTGCTTTTGTGTCTGACTTTTTCACTTAGCAGAATGTTCTCAGGGTTCTCCCCCTATTGTAGTCTGTGTCAGGATTTGGTTCCCTTTTTAGGGTGAATAATATTCCACTTATAATTTCAACAATATTGTATAAATGGAGAACACATCTTGTTTATCCATTTATCCATCTACCTGGTTGAGCTGCTTCTACCTTTTAGCTGTTGTGAATTATGCTGGTAAGAAGTGGGTATACTGTGAAATACACACACAGATCCAAGTCCCTGTTTGTGTTTCTTCAGGGTGTACACCAAGAAGTGGAATTGCTGGATCATGTGTTAACTCTACCCGATGACTTTTTAACTAGTTAATTTTGCATGTCAGCATGATGATTATAAGGTTACACTGAAGAGGCACAAGGGCTGGCTAAGTACTGTGAGAGCCAGCCTATTAAACCTGTAGAGGAGGTAGTCAAGGGTAGGTACAGGCCCTTCCCACCCCTTCCTGGTCCTGCCCTCAAATTTGCTCCTCACTTTACCCTCAGCTGCCCTGGGCTTTCGCTCACCTCCCTGATCCAGCAGGTTCAGGAATGGGCGAGGGTCTTTGTCCAGGTTTGTCATCCGGTGTGACATTCAATGTACAAAGATGATGTCATCTGGTACTCAGCGACTGCAATAACATCTACCACAGCCCTATAGCCACTGAGCAGGTCTCCCCTCTACATGTCACAGGCATTTATGGGGTTGTCACAGATACATGACCACAGGTGATTTGCTTCACCTCCTGACTTGGGAACATAATCCCCGAGAAGGCATGTGTGTGGGCATTTTTCTAGAGGAGTCATGACCTTCCTCCTGCTTTCAAGTAAGATCACTCCAAAGAAACAGCACCTCAAAACAGAAGCCAAATGTCCCCTCCATCCACCTGACTTACCTGCCTCATTGCTTCTGCTCATGCTGGCTTCTTTCCCTGGAACCCCCAGTTCCTCTGTGCATGTTCAGATCTTACTTATGCTTTCAGGGTGCCTCCTCTCTGAATTTGCGTGGGTCCATTTTTCCCAGCTGGGAGAAGTCTCACGGGACTGCTGAAGCATGTTCCGTCTGTCTTAAGGCACACACCATGCTTTCCAAGGAGCTTCCTCCAGTAGCCTCAAGATCCCTGGGGACTGACTGAGGATCAGAAATGCAAATTCCCAGGCCTCAAGGAGACCCCTGGACTCAGAAACTCTGGGGGTGGAGTCAGCAATCTGTTTTTACTGGAATAGACAGTTTTAGTTCTAACCTCAATAGGCTACCAGGAGAACAGAATGAACAGAAATGGATAAGAACAGGTGTTTTCAGGCTACCTACTTCCTTCCTTTTCCTTTTAAAAATTGAGGTATAATTTACAACAAAGGGCATAGACTTAAGTGTACAACTTGATGCCTTTTACAAATATATACACTGCTGTACTCACACCTTAGATAGAGATAGGGAGCTTTTTGACACCACAGAAGGCCCAATCAATAACCACTCACTGCCAAGGAAACCACTACCCTGATTCTATCACCTCTGATTAGCTGTGACTGTTTTTGAACTTCAAATAAATGGAATCATGCTGTAGATGCTCACTCTGTGTCTACATTCTCTTGTCAACTTCGTGAGATTCATCTAAGTTCCTGTGTGTGGAGGAGCTTTTACTTGGCCATGCAGTACTCCACAGCATGAACACAGCATACAATTGAGGCAGCTGCTGGAAGACATTTGTTTCCAGTTTATCTAGAATACAATACCATTTTTGCATAGATATAAATACTTTCTTAGCTTGAGGTCTGTTCTCTGCACCTATGCTCTTTAAGATGAGAAATTTTCCTTTGTAATTCTGTGGCCTATTTTGTAGCACTTACTTAGAACCCAAGTCCCAAAAGGGCCAAGTCTCTTCCAGGGGAGGAAGTTGCTCTTCAGCTCAGCCTGCAGTGGGTCAGTCTTATTCTCAGGAGTGGAGGCAGGCCAGAGCCCTGGGTGCTGTGACCCAGAAGTCCAGAGGTATGTGGTTTTGCCAGTCTGACCGAGGCTGATGTCTTTCTGTTCGTTTGTGGGAGCCAGGAAACACGCACACAGTAGCACTATAAGAGGTGCTTTAACCCATAGTTGTGTGATGTACTCGCCAGTATGGTCTTCAGACACAGGAAGACTCCTAAGACATCACACTGCCAGCAGAGTTTCAAGCAGGAGTGCAGAGGCATGTGTGAAGCAGGTGGAGTTGTCCACATGCCAGCAGGAGGGTCACCCTGGATGTCGGGAGGCCCAGAGCAAGGAGGCGCAACTGCCAGCCCCAGGCAGCTCTCCCGAGTCTGGATGGTGAACTATTTGGTCACTTCGGCTTGGACACCCTCTTCCGGCTCAAGCTGCCTCAGCTCCTCCACACAGACCAGAGGGATTCCAGTTCTCAGGAATCCAGGATGAGGGACAGGCTGAGAAGATGGGTGAGCGGCACCAGGGCCCTTCCCCTCCTGACTCACAGAAAGGGAATGAGATGGGGCGTAGGCTGCCGCTTAGAGGGCCGGCCTCACCCTCTTGGGGCCTCACCTGGCTCTGAGGTGAATCCACTTGCCAAACCCTGGGCAGATTCTCTTTGGGAGTAAAATTCCTTCCCTCTTCTGCTGAGGAGAGTGAGAGAAGCAGTGAGAACAGGAAGGAGTTAGGTTAACCCTCAGACAGGACTCCCCAACCCCAGCTTGAGACGCTGGGAGGCATCTCTCAAAGGAAATTGCGAAATCTTCCTAGGGACTCATTTGAGTTTTGGTTTGGGGCCAACCGGGCCTATCTTTCTGGCTCTGAGAATGTTTTCAAGTAGTAGACATTCCTTCCTCGACATTGCTCAGGGAACACTAAACTCCTTGCCTCCTCACCCCCTCCTAGGATGTCTGCTCAGTTAGCTACACCAGGAGCTTTCTGATCAGGAAGGAAATGATTGGCAACAAAGAGGACAAAGAGCTGACTTCCTTAATATACAAATAATAGTAATGCTATTGAGTGCTGGAGAGGGGAGGGCGAAGGGAGGGGGGAGGGGAGGGAAAGGAGGGTGGTCTGAGTACTTTACAGCATTAAGTTCCATATGCCTCACATAAGGGTTTGCCCTTTCAGAAGGAGGAAACTGAGGCACACTGAAGATAAGTAGCCCAGCCAAGGGGCACAGCCAGCAAGCAGCACATCCCCAACCTGGCCCAGGTCATGGGTGACTGGCAGGTACTGAGTACTTCCTGTGCTGTTCCTTGTCTTCACAAGCCACCACAAATTGATATGAAAATCTCCCTGATAGACCAAGAGAAATGGGGAAAGGATGTAAACACATAATGCACCGGGGGAATAAATGGATATATTGGTAATCAGGAAAGTAATGAATTTCCTTGAGGCTGCCTTGAACTGGCAAATGATTTGATGATTTATCATAATTATGACCTTGCCAGGGAACCATGGGGGCAGGTACCCTGCCTCTGGGGGGTGTGTCCACCGTTAACATCTATCTGGAATGCTGGAACGCTGCTTGGCAGGACCTACCAAATGCCTGCAGGAGTCAGCAATCCTCTGTCCTGCCTCCCTCCTCAGAGTCCTCCAGAAAAGGTCAGGGGGAGGCAAAGATGAGCACATAAAGCTGTTCATCACTGTCCTGTGTACAGTGGTGGAAATGCAGAGAAATATACAAATTCCTACGAAGAGGAATCACTAAAGACATTATGGAGAGATCACCAAAGTACTATTTTCAGAAAATTTTACAAACAGGAAAGGTGCTTATAATATTATGTTGCACACAAAAACAGCAGAACTTCATATTTTGGAAAAGAGGGCGACAGCATTAAGTTCCATATGCCTCACATAAGGGGTGGCCCTTTCAGAAGGAGGAAACTGAAGCACACTGCATAGGGCTACCGACACAGAGGATCAAGCTGCAACTGGCCAGGGGTTTGCATATGCCTTGTAAACAGCGGTCATGTGCGTGCATTAATTTAAAATGTTCTATTCTGAAATCATTTCAAACCTACAGAAAAATGAAGAGTAAGAGAAAGGAATTTCCAAATACCCTTCATCTACGGACATCCACTATTAATCTTTTATCACATTTATTTTCTTCCACACTCTTTGTGGTTTCCTGTATGTGTGTCTATATGTCAGAAGTTATCATGTAACATGTTGTGCGATATTACACCTACAGGTCCATAAAGTTTTTCTGAGCCATCTGTAGGCAGAAAACAGACCTTATGCCCTTCACCCCTAGTTACTTCAGGGTGATCTTCTAAGACTGAGAGTATTCTCTCAGCCAAAGTAGAGTGACGCAAGTCAGAAGTTGGCATGCGCCTGCCTGTTACACGGTCTCCGTGTTGTCCTGTACAGTACCCTCCCCCTGATCCAACCAGGGTCATGTGTCACCTTTGTTCATTTCTGTTCTACCCTCTTTGATCTGGATCATTCTTCAGCCTTTGGTTTTCATGATCTTGATTTTTTTTAGAATATGGACAGCTGCTTTGTACGATATCCCACTCTTGGCTTTATCTGTGTTCTCAGGATTAGACTCACGCTGTGCATGTTTGGATAATCAGCAGATTGGCCTGGTGTCCTTCCTCAGTCACATCAGAGTCACACAAAGTCAGCTAATCTCATGACTGGTGATGCTCACCCAGATCACTTGGTTAAGGTGGTGTCCACCATCTCTGGGGTAAAGGTGAGTGTCCCTTTGTAATGAACAGGTATTTTGATATATCTATCCGATCCCCACAAAGCTTTTTACTCATAGTCTGGCATTCATCAAATGCCTGAATCACTTACCACCACAATGGATGCAAGTTGGCATTATTTTTACCATTTAAAACAAAATTTACTTTCAAAAAATGAGTGATTTTTCACTTTAAAAAATGTGTGGAGGAGATGAAATAAAATTGGAAAAATGAGAACAGTTAGCAAGGCTGGCTGATGGCCATTCTGATATAGTATGCCATTCTCTCCACTTCTGTGTATGTGAAAATTTCCATAATAAAAGATTCAAAACATTTATTTCACTCTAATAATATTCATGCTAACGTGTTTAGAGAGTGGGTATGGTTGTCATTGACTGCATTTGAAACACATTAAAAGTTAAGATAAATCAAAGAATAAAGAGTAACCTGGATAGAAAGAACTGTGAGCAGAGAAGAGGAAGAAAAGTGATTGCAGGATCTTGGTGGAGAAAGCACCCTGGTTCTTGTTATTCTCCCACTGTTATGGATGTTTGAAATTTACCATCATAAAACTTTGGGGGAAGTAGTTATTTCTGAACGATGGGTTATTTTCTTCCTTCGTACTTTCCTGTGTTTTTTAACCTCTATAAAGAACACAAATTCCTGCGTTATTTACTTTTATGTTTGATGTTCAGGAATCCAGTGGCTCAGAGGTGGCTGCCCAGGAGATCAGCTCCATGGGAGGGCGCTGCATTGGCCTTTGGGAATAGTCTCGAAAGTCAGCCGGCTGGAAGCGCTCTCCCCTCAACCCCCACTCGCCCTCCCTCCCGCCTCAGGGTGCCTTGGGAACTGAGGGCAGGCAGCCTCTGCGGAGGAATGGCTCCTTCCTTCCTCCCTCAGCCCTTCCCCGGATGCACGCTCACTTCTTGG